CACCTAGAAAAATCATTTAATAAGAATACGTCTAAAGATGACTTTACGAGAGTGCAAAGGGCTGTTAGATCTTTTGCCTTGAGGGTAGTGTGAAGAAGGCAGGGGTGATCATGTGGTCATTACACTCAAATGAAGCCACTGGTTCCCTTTTCTGGCTTCGGCATTTGGTGCCTATGGATAGCAATAGTGACTCTGAATCAAAACTGTCATCAAGCACTTGAGGGAGGTACTAAATGTAAGCACTTGGTACTACTGTCACTTTCAGGCTTTGGAGAAAATACTATTTTAATGATATTCAGGGTCTTATGTAGAGTATTTCTTTTCAGAAAAAAAATGGCCCTTGAAATGATCATGAGTAGAAACTACATACGATTGAGAAGAGACAGCACTTACATTTATGAAAATTATTTATAGTTACTGATGATGACCCTGGGAGCAAGTTGCTGAGGTTAGGAGGAAAATATAGCATCACTGAGGGGTTCCAAGTACTGATAAGATAAGGCAATAAAACAATCATCTAAATATTAATGGAAATAGTCAAGAATTAAAGCAGGAGTAGTATTGGAAAAAGCGACTGATCCAGAAAGTATTTGTGGAGAAATAAGAATGATACCAGTGGTCTGCAGACAATAGTGAAAATAAAGATTCATTGGTTACAAAACTGCATGTTGTGAGATTCTAAATTGGAGATTTTAGGTAGGAGGCAAGCCATATGGAGTTAGGAGCAAAAAGGACTCCCATTTACGTCCAGTGGGTGAAGGGATGGTGGGGAAAAATACAAACAAACAAAAAAATGCTCGATTATTGTCTCTTTGTAGTATAATAGTATAAGTATCAGGCAGAGTGATACTTCTAGTCTTCTTTTTCTTCAGGATTGTTTTGGCCATTCGGAGTCTTTTGTGCTTCCATACACATTTGATGATTTTTGTTGTTGTTGTTGTTCTATTTCTTTAAAAAATATTGATAGGATAAAAAAAAAAGAAAGAAAGAAAGAAAAAAAGAAAAACACTTGAGAGGTCTACTAAGGAGTACCCTCAGGGCAACTCGGGTAAAAGATTGAAAACATACAGATTAAAACAATTTGCTGTGATAGTTTATATCCACTCATGAAGCAAGCATAGCATGCAGGCCACCAAATGCTGGTTTCTGTGAAACTGGTCCAGCCATTCATTCTTCATTCATGCAATGCTAAATTGGTAGTCTTTAAAAAAAAGTCAATATGGGAAAAACAATAAAGGACATACTGTTAATATTAATAATTCCACTGAGAATGTTGTTCCAAATATTTTATTCTAACATGTTTTTAAATGTGTATATATGCACATTCTTAGCACTCTTTCATTCTCTATATTAGAACAAATTTAGGAAATATCTCAATTCTAGCTTATGGAACACATGCAATATTATATAGCCACTACAGTGACACAACTAAACCATGTCGAGCTATGAAAATGTGTATTATAGAAAGTTAAATGAATATGGAAGAATCTAAAATAACAGGCACAATAAATATGGAGCTATGCAAATATTTCAAAGTCAGTATTGCTTATGATTATATCTGTGATGGAGCCAGACTCTCTGGTTTGAACACCGTCTCTCCATTTAATATCTGTGTGACCTGTGATAAATTACTCAACTTTGTTGGGTGTCTCAGTTTCTCCATCTATAAAACGATTATAATATAAGAGCCTGACTTGATGATTAGATGAGTTAATACGTGAATGATGTTCAAAAACACTTAATGTTGGCTGTTGTATAAAATACTGGCAATATAAGTAAAATAAAAGGTCTGTGTTGAAGTTGTAAGAATATAAGTGATAGATTATTATTAACTTTACATTTCTCTAAGCCAGTTTTTTTTTGTCTTTTCAAGAAAAAAAAAGAAGCCAAACAACTCTTGGAAAAATTGAGCTAATTTCAATTGTATTTTATATTTTCGTTCTCTCTATAAAACCTGAGTAAGACATGACCTTATATTTC